TGTTGATTGCTTCCAAGTGGATATTTAAGTATTTTTGAAATGATATCATTTGATTTGCAGTGGTTGGTGGAGATGGAAAACAGACAAGGAGCACATTTCCTTTACTTCTCTGCTACTTTCTCAAGAGCAACTCTTGTCTGATCTCGGTGTTTCTGTGCTCAATCAAATATCCTATTAAGAAACTCTCAAATCATTTCTGTTCACCAGAATTATACTTTTACAAAATCATGTTTAATTACGTGTAGCTAATTCTTTACAAATGCATATTAAAACCCAAAGAAATACTCCACTTACAATAATAAAGTACGGGCTATGACATCAGTTCCCTATATAGCAAGGTCCCATAATGGAAATCGGTGTAGGCCTCCAAAAAGACAGACGTCAAGACAAACCTGAGCATTGTATCCAAAATCACTACACTTAGAGGGAAAAGCAAACCTCTGCTCTATTCTACCTCAGTAATGAGTCTCAAGTTGCAGCCTAAATGAAAATGTAGATTCAGATCTGAACTGTGACATGTAACCCTTCCTGTCACATTGTCTACCACTTGTTTTTTCTCTTCATAGCTGGTCATTCAGAGAGCCAGCTCTTCCCTCTTACCTCGTCTGTGTCAGCCTTCAAAGCCTAAATATGTTTAAATAAGAGATTAAAGATCTTCCTTGAAACATTAACAATTCCCTTCTGTCTTGTTTATAAAATCCTGCATTTCTCTGGTGCTATTATTTTTAATATTAGCACTAGAGACACACACTCTCATAAACCAGGATTTTTCATTTATTGTCTCCTCCAGCTTTATTTCACACCTCAAATCATAATCCATTTTGTCTGTGTAAGAATTATATACTGAATGCCTTTACCTCCAGTTTCCTGGAACGCTAAAAATATTATATATCAGTGTTTTTCAAGCCAGTGAACATTTGTGTTTTCTGGAAATTATTTCAGGAAAGCAGAAAATACCTCAACCTAAAGAATAAGAAATGCTTTGTGATTACAACTGCAATTCAATAATTTCTTTTTGTTTCTGATATGACTCTTCTGCTTTACAGAAAATATTATGAACAGTTACAAGGCCAGAGCCATTTTGCCACCATTTTATTAATCAGCCATATTGTTGTAACACCTAGAGCAGAGAGCGGTGTTGCGTTGTGGTAGGTGTTGTAAAAGTGATAATTTCTGACTGGCAGCAGATGAGCTATCACAGCAAGCACAGCTGTGGCAGTAGCGGCTGCTCCTGTGAAAATAACCCTAATAAAAATGGAAATAAGACAGGCGGAAGATCAGTTTCTTGGTAAGACTGTTCCAGAGTGCTCTTCAAAAACCCCATCTGTCTTTAGAAATAGGACCTTGCATTCATTTTTTTATGACAAATAAGAATTGCATAGTATGGGAACAACAGAAACTGAATGCAACTGATGACAGACTAGCAGTGAAATAGGAGGCTATTCCCATATTGCCCATTTAAAGAATGTAATTGCAGGTGGGTACAAATTGTAACTTGATATATGTATCCAGATCTTCTGTTGGTACTAATCCCTCTGGTCCACTGAAATATGCCTAGCCAGTACCATGTGACAATTAGAAGGTTTAAAGATATTGGATTCTGCATCTACTTTGCCCTTCAGACTGCTGCACTTCTGTAACCATGTTAACTGTGCTCTTCCCTCATTCAGCATAACTCTGAGAGTTGCACCGTAAAGCTGATCGATAGACATGGACAGTTGCACAACAAATTTACATCAGGAAATCTGTGTTTCTGCAGATAAGTTCAATTTTTCTTTGGCAGAAAGAATATAAGTTTTGTTGTTGTTGTTGTTGTTTCTTTAGTACTGATTTGCTCTTTTGCTTAATAAAATATCCTATTCTGCAAAGACAGTAACAGAAGCAGAGAAGAGGAAGCAAAAGAATCATATTGTCAACCATGCTAGTATAATCCTATGCTGTTAAAAAATGAAGTCATCCATCGCAGGGATAACAGGATATACAACATACAACAAATGCATGATGCAGTGTAAGAATGGATGACAAATAGCATCTTCAGAAACAGTGAAGCAGTTGTCTGTGGCTTAAGATCACCATGTAGCACAGGAAAACAGAAGTATAAGCTATCCACAAATCACCCCTTCAGGGTATCCCAAGACTTTTGCCTCTTCCCACACTTCAAGTTAGCAGAGGAGTCAAAGGTGGACATCAATGATTGCTGATTTCTTTATGCTTCCTGATGACATTCTTCAACTCTACCATATGTACTTATGGGACAGATATTATCAGGACTATGTTTAGTATTTGAAATTCTAGATTTGGAACTTGCTTTTAATCGCCCTTGTCAGTTTACCCTATTTATAAAGAGTGAGAGCAATAGAAATTGTAAGCTCCCAGATATTGAAAACTTCTCTTACTTTTTTTCTTTTAAAACAAAAATCAAACTATATTCACTGACCTCTGCTATTTTTTTCTTCCTATAGGTCTTTATTCTGAAAAAGTCCAGTGAATCCTATGATCAAGCTCTTGATATTAACAGGCAGAATACAGACATTGTTCTGTTACCAAGCTTCATTTCTCATTTGGTAGGATCCAACTGAAACAGTCAGAGGATACTTAAAACTATTTTCAGCCACCTACATGACTTTTTGGAAATGAGACAAATGTGAGGTGCTGTGGGTTTAGACCTGTGGGAACAGAACTAGATTGATAAGTCATTTTTATTTGGACCTCTGAGATGGTTATGGCTTTCAGTCACTGCCAATATTGAAACAAGTAACCGAGACATGAAAGGTCGGATCATGGACCATCTGAGCTGCCCAATTCTTGCAGCCCCTCTGCTCTTCATAATGCCTAAAGAACATTTCAGAATGGGAGTACTTAAACACGGCAAAGAAACCAGCACTTGGGCATGGGGTTATGTGGGAGACAGGTGGGTGGACTTCGATTCTGTAGTGCTATGACTGTGTTTAAAAATTCAGCTCAGAAAGAACCAGCGCAAAGACTAAACCTCCTATCTATGTCATGGTTTCATCTCTGTAGCTACATGACTGCGTTCCTAGTACACCTGCCAGCTCAGCAATTCAAAAGAATAAGAAGTGGTTCCCTTGCAGAGCTCTGTCTGCACTCAGGGTATTTTAAATGAGTGTAGCGTAAACAGTATTTCTTGCTTTCTCTTTCATTTTGCATTTCTTCTATTTTTTCTTTTCACACCACAGTGTACAGTGCATTGTTTTCCTCTGTGTTTTAGAAATTATCCTTTTCTTTCCCTTCACTCTTTTATTTCTCTCTTACACTGCAGTATTTTCTCTGTTTTATGCCTATCTCCATATTCTCTCTCTCACACACCTTGTTCAACCTCCTCCAAAGCTTTGCCTAATTAGAATGGCCAGGAAAGCACTGGTTTTAGCTGGATCCAAGCAACCATTCAAAAAAGGTAAGCTTATTTAGAAGACTGAGCTGTGGAGGCAGTACTGCCATACCGTGGTAGTTTCTTAGACGAATGTAGCATTACAGAGAGCTGCCATCTCAAAAGAAACAGAACCTTGCTGGCAATGAATCCATGATGGGAGATGGACACTGCAACACGCTTCAGCAGATTACAGCTGATATTTTTGCTCACAATTACCTGGCAGGAAAGACTCAAGCCCCATTCCTTGCCTGCAGAGGCATTCCAGCTGCTGAATACTCCACCTGAAGTCCTTCATCTCCTCACTTCAATTAATGAATACAGAGGCTGGCAGCATTGCCGAGATGGAGAGTCAGCTCTAGTCCAACCACCCTAATTCACTGCGGTGAGGTGAGAACGCACCCAGTTTCCAGAGACTCGCCAAAATCAGACCGCGTTGTCTTTTGTACTATCTTCAGCACTGACTTCAAGAGTACCAGAAAACAGTGCGTCTCTCTTGCTAACCAACCATTTTCAAGGCTTTTCATTTCCTATTTCACAGAAGTTCAACACATTAAATTTTAAAAACAAAACAAATGTAAAAGTGTATCTTCAAAAAGGCACATTAGCTATGTGGTCAATTGCTTTTCCCCTTCAAAAACCAGTGCATGGGGTTCACAAATTACTGCCTTAGACCACTAAACAAAGAAAAGTTTACAATTTTCTGGATCAAACCCTTCACTGCAGTTCAAGCAACCACATCCCTGTACAAAGCACTTAGAGGAAAGAATATCAATACCCCCTTACTCTGAAAAGGGGGAAAAGCCCTTCTTAAAAGCTGGAAATGTCCCGGGAATAATTGATTCCTGAAGTGAGTAACCCTGGAAATTCATTTTAGATGCCAGTAGTGGAAAAATTAAGCAATGAAAAGTAGGATGGCCTAAAAGTGAGGCCCAGGCAGTTTAAGATGCATCTGTATTGCCTTTTGAGTTCAGTTGCGGAGCTGGCCGGGAAGCTGCTGCATTGGGAAATAATGATGAGGTCCATAAAAGGGATGGAAAATGTATAGATGAGTGTTGCTGTAGGTGTTACAGACTTCCAAAGGACCTCACTAGTGGGCCTCACTGTGAGAAAGTGGCAGTTTTGGCAGAGTGATGAGCGATAGCTATGCCACAGGAGGATGCACTGGGATAAGAAGGCTAACTGCATGAATAAAGGCATTATATAAAGCATACGATAACTTCCCAGTGGAAGATACTATTTAAAATAACTTCAATATGTTCTTGTAGAAGCAGTGGTCTCAATGATTTCCTCATATTTCCTCCACCTGACACTGAGAGGGGAAGGAAGCTTCACAGATACGGTGTTACAAGTGTCTCTTTACCCGTATCTGTTTTTTTCCATGCATTGGGCAGACAATCACTTATTTGTGTGCACATCAGCCTATGTGACAAGGTGCATATAACCATTCCTTTAGGTATAACTCCAATATCAGCACTTTCTAGCCAAGAATGACATGTGCAGCAACTGTCCTGCTGCAGACACGACACACATCATTGTCCCGTCTGCTTAGGGTTTTCAGCATTCTCTGAAAATACCTAATAAAATAACCAGGTATAAAATGAAATCTTACCTATAACTTTTCCTAGGAATAGTGCCTTTGGGGAATTGAACTGAATGTCAGATGCTGCTGGCAGGCTGTAACTTGTTGGAGGATAGTGATCAAGCTGGGGAAAGAGAAAAGAAATGATGAGTATTTTGAACTGATCTGCCTTCTTACAGTGCTACTGAATCAGGTCTACTTTATAGAGTTTATGCCACCACTTAACAACCCTGTCTGATATGCTCTGCTTTCATTTTGACAAAGGGAAAATAACAGTTAATACCTTTCCTTCATATATCTGCCATCTCCACAGTTCCCGAGACCTGGAAAATACCTATATTGGACATTTGTTTGTTCTGGTTGCTGTAGAATCACTTCAGCTTTCGCTTGTGTGCTTCAATATAATTGCTAAAAGTAACAACAGCATCAACACCAACAATAAAACAGCTTATTGTTTTAAGATTTCCATTTGGGATCTATGTTACTGCTAAAGCTAGATTTACATAGCTGAGAATTTGAGACTAATGCAGGTGTTCGGCCTTTTCTCTCAGAAAAATCATATATTAATGACACACTTTTTTGCACTTCATGTTTATTATTTTCTTGTTGAAAGTGTTGTTCAATTTAATTGTGATGACACCTAGTCAAACCTAAAGATTAAATTCAAGAGTAATCAATTTAGCTGAATAGTTTAATCTATAGGAAACTCCTATTGTCCCTGATATGACACAACAATCACATTATATTTTTTTCCTGGTTTTTAATTATTTAACAGAAAAATGTGAAGAGAGAGGAATAAAATAAATTGCCTATGCTTGGTAATAGCACTATTAAGATAGTTCAATACAGCTCAACAGAGTTTGAGCAGTGGGGCTGATCAGACCATCACTAATCTGATAAGATACTGATAAATTATAATAATTATTATAAATCTATCAATCCATTTATGAATGTATCAATGTATTGCGGGTATCCTAGAGCTGTAGCCATGATCCAGACTAACTATTAGGAACAAGTAATGGAAAGTCATCCCTGCTTAACGTACAGGCTGTCCCTACCTGAGAATGATAACTGTGTCTGCAGGACATACCTGAAAACAAAAACCCAATTTAAATGATGAATCACTGTGAGCATTTACATGCACAAACACAGAATATCAAATCCTGCCAGCTGTAGTGCAGTGAAACGCCCTTTGTTAGTGTTCAGGATGTGGAAAGGCTGGTCCATAATGGATTAATAGAGAATCAGCATACTAGCTATGTCAAGGTATAGTTTGTTTCTTTGCGATACGGGTTCCCTGCAAGAATACCAGGCTGCTATTCCTATTTTTAAGGTGCTCTGTAATTTGGGCCCAGAATATCTAATATATCACCCCATCACCCAAAGCTCAGGTTTTGTAGTTCAGGTAATCAAACATGCTATATTTGCTAAGAAGCTCTTCTGAGGCCATGGTCGAAAATCCTTCAGGAACCAAAGAGCATTGCAAACCTTACCCTGTTCTGCCAGTGACAATTCTCCGACTTTGCCTTTCCTGGCAAAAACGCGTAATGGCACTCACATTTAAAATAAGTAAAAATATACCATTACACTGTGACAATGATCCCAAAATAATGATACTGTGTTTCACCAGATCCCTCAAACTGGTGTGTGGTCATAGGTTGCCCATCTCTGGAAGTGGGGATGGTGCCAGTGCTGTGGCAGGGGAGCAAAGGACAGGGAACTAGTGCTCTTGCCCTCTCCCTCTCCTTGCTTTTTTTCTGATTCTTCTGGGAAATCCCTACACAAGCACAGCAGAGAGGCAGAGGCAGACCCATATGCATACCTGCACACTGGAGTCCTCCGGGAGGACTTCTGTGGCAAAGCTCAAAGAGAGAGGCTGCAGCAGGGCATGCAGGGCATGCCGGTGGTGAAACCATGCAGCTTTCTGGTGCAGCCAAAAAGGAGTCAAAGATACAAGCAGGTGTGCCCCCTCTTCCCCCCACCTTGGAACAGGTTAGCTAGTGGTGATCTTGGCCAGATTAAAAAAAACAAATAAATCCTTCCATTGACCTCATCTCCCCTTAGGGCTTCAGCGTGGCAGAGCACACCATCTTGGTGCAGAGGCAAAAGATCCTGCCGTGTGTGGGAGCCAGGGCTGGCAACAAGGAGACTAATGCTGTGTTACATTGCAGGCTCTAACAGATACAGCCAGTTTACTGCTTAGGGGCATTAGTTTAAACTGACCTCTTGTACTGAACTGATAACTCAGTATATCTACTCACATATATTTTCCAGATCTCATTGAAGTCAAGGACATGGGTTCAGCTATGCATTGTTTCAAGGGTTTAACAACTCCGAAGTTTTGGGTTGTTTTGACTCCTGGTTGAAATAAATTTCCATTCAAAAACTGTTGATACTGATTTCCTGGCCTTGCCATCAACAGGGGCAAACATTTCTGATTAGCGACAGAGCAGGCTACTGATCTGTTGCCAGCTCTGGCACCTCTTGTCCCCCTGGGAATGCCTGTGTTGCCTTCCACGGCCAGCTTTGAGCTATGCCCTTCTCTAATCCTGGCACCTGAAATGAAATGGTGCACCACAAGACAGCAGTGAGGGCACAGTGAGATTTTTGTCCGCTTGCTTTTATTGCTTGTCTTTGTTCTAAACTAGCATTATCTAATTAAAAAACCCTTTTTTTTTAGAGGCACTTAACCTAGGATTTCTTTTTTAGGTCAGCGAGTTAAAGGACCAAGCTGAATTCTTTCCAAAGTTGTATGTGACTGCCATCCAGTGGGTGCTGAAGTGTAAGCAGCTGGAACTGAGCAGCCTGCAGTCTTTGTATTAAATACTAGGCTATCAAGGTAATACAAGACACATAATAAAAAAGGAATTACTAGTGTCAAATGATATTTGAAAAAAGACATTACATTATTTAATGAAAATTAAATAGAACCTCTGCATACACAGAGGTTGATGTCATGAATTTGTATTAAATTACAGTTTTTAAATTATATTTAAGATTTTTCATTACAGCTACTTTTCTCTAAAAACTCATTAATTTCGTTTGAGCTTAATATAAACACACAGTGTGGCTTTGAGCACTACACACGTGAAAGTAGATGGCAGCTTCTGAGGAACTTGCAGTTTCAGTTCTCAAGTCACGTCATGCCAGGCAGACTGTCTTTATCTGAAGTTGCTGGGATTTAAGCAGAAGTTCAATAAAATGCTATTTCTTTTAAATTACTGTTCACTTAGATAATAAAACTAATCTTGACAGGAGTCCTGAGATTAACAGACATATCAATCTAAGGGCAAATATAATGCCTACATCACCTTAGTAGTCTTGGGGAAAAAAAAAAGATATATATATATATATATAAGGTATATACACATACGCACACATTATATTCACCCTGTGGATATATCTACATCTGTATCATTGTTAATCCAGCCTGTGTGTGTACTGCTATAAAGGTAAGGTTTTTCTTTATGCTGAAGACAGTCTATTAAAAATTTTCAAAATGCTATGGAATAATAATGCTGTAAGGCTTAATCTTGCACCATCTGAAGTCAATACAGCTTTGCTATTGACTTCAGTAATAGCAGGATAAAGAAGGGGATGTGTTATCATCATGACCAATGCAATATTTCACTCCTGTATTATTATAATTATTTATCACTTGTATTAAAAAGCTTTTCAGTCCTGGACAAGAGCTTTTTGTGTTAAGTGCTATAATATTGCATAACAAAAAGAAGGTGCCTGCTCAAAAATGCCTACAAATTTAGAATAGACTAGGCATGAGAGCCCAAGAAAATAACAAGGCGATGTGCAGGTGTTTAGATGGAGCTCCTCCTAAGCGTGGTAGTAATTTAGGAGGAAGCAGGAAGGTGACTATGAAGAAATCTGACCTCTTAATGGTGAAACAGAGATGAGTATTCCCCTGCTGAAAGGTTAGGAAAAACCTTACAAACACTATTTTTAACATTGTGATATTTGAAAACATTTTATCTTTTCAATGCAACAGAAAAGGAACAGATTCAGGAGGCAACTGTACAATTCCTTCGGATCACCAAAGCCAATTTTACTGCAATTCAGCTCCTTCCTTAGTGTGGCACTAGTGCTTCGCTGATCTTTTTCTGCCAGGTTAGGTCCTTGACCCAGGCTATTGTGGATCAGATCAGAGCCAGAGCAGGGGCAAGCCGGAGGCTGTAAATGAATAGTGGATCCAGAGAAGACGGCAGACCCATAAACCCAGCATTTTTTACTGGCTTAGACTGTCATAGACCTGCAGCCTCACTTCTCATCTGGAACACAGGAGGGGGCATATACCTCACCAGCGTGATGTAAGGCAAACTTAAGGGTTGCATTGTGCTTTGAGCTCTTCAGATGAGATTTCTATAGAGGTATAGTTAATACTGTTTTAAGAACCACTCCAAATCTGTTTTGCTGATTTAATGCACTGATTTAGCCTTTTGCAGGTTTTTTTAATAAATGTCAACTGCGGTCTTTTATGCTAAAGTCTCTTTTTTGCAGGGATTTAAATTAGAAATGTGATCAACATGAGATACAGACATAGAAAAAACATAGGTACATTGCAGAAAAAAATAAAATAAATATAAAGGGTTTTTTTTGTTTAAAAACTTGAATCCCTTTTGTGTAATAAGCTCGTATACTTTCCTGAAGCTGCTCTTGCTCTGATAAATAATATCAGGGATAATTTGCCTCACTGTAAAAAAATAAAAAAATTTGGGATAATATGTAAATGGAAATGTAGGTACATAACTCAAAGTGTAACAGAAGCACTGATAAGGAAAAGAACACTATTTAGTCTGTCTGCCTTCAATTGAAACAATTCTCTGATGCATATTTCACATATCTGTTGACTTTTTATTGCTCTCTTTAATAGATGAATTACAACAAATGTTAACAGAAGCAATAGCAGGTCATATAATGCCAAGTTATTAAAATTAAAGTGATCTACCTCAGGTACCTAAAGATGACTTTCACAGGACATTAATTTGTCCAATGTGTGCTGCCATATAATGGAAAGCACCTATTTCATGCTAAATTTTGACTTTTTTAGGCTTAATGTTAGACTCTGAAAACACTTAACAATTCTTTTGTTCTTCCTTTGTTTCTTTAATT